AAATTTGATTACATCTTTCCGATGTTTTAAATTATTTTACACAACTACTTTAATGTTATTAACAAAAATGGACCGTTAATTCACATAAATTGAGGTTAATGGACTACATTTTTTTGGTTTTTAGGACTAAAATTGGGCACCGAAACATAATATGGACTACATTTTTATTTTTAGGACTAAAATTGGGCACCCAAACATAATAGGGACTATATTTATTTGTTTTAAGGACTAAAATTGGGCACGAAAACATAATAGGGACTATATTTTTTGTTTTAAGGACTAAAATTGGGTACCAAAACATAATAGGGACTACATTTTTTGTTTTAAGGACTAAAATTGGGCACCAAAACATAATAGGGACTACATTTTTCTGTTTTAATGACTAAAATTGGGCAGCAAAACATAATGGGGACTCAGTCTGGATACCCCTAAACATGAAAGACCAAAAGTGGACTTTGTCCTATAATAAACGTGTTAAATAAGAAGGATTTAAAAAATTACACTATCACTGAACAGTATTTCAAATTCTTTAAGGACAACGTATACAAAAATTATCGTAAATTAAAAAAAAAAAAAGACTATTAAAATATATTTGAGTTTTTAGTTTTTTACCCATTGTGGAGACGAGTGAAGCCACATATTTGTTAACCTTTTTACCCATTGTGGTTGTAAAGTGAAGAAAAAAGAGAATCTTGGGATTAAGAAATTGACAAGAGCAGGTGAATCATTGTTAACTTTGCCTAGGATTCTCTACATACAATAATATTAAAGAGTCAACAATTGGCTCCGGAGCCAACAACGAATGAGACAATTACAGGTGAGGCTGTCCCACAATACTTTAATGTGGGACAGTCCCACATGGAGTTATTAAATTAGTTGTTGGTTCCATAACGGAGCCAACTGTTGACTCCTTAACATTACTGACTCTCACATAACATAGGCATCATCAAATTTTATAATTATTTGGCTTCACTTGCTGGATGTATAGCATTTTTGTGTATTTAAGCATCTTAATTAACTCACACTGGATCACTTGAATAATTTGATGCGTGATTGTCACAAAAATGATGAGTGTATAAATTATAAGGGTATGCTTGTTTATTAAATAATTTGCTCACGTTTATTTCAAACTAAAAATTTAAATCAACTTTTAACTAGAGTCGTTTTCAGAAATGTGTAGGCCCAGACAAATTTTACCTCTTGAATTTTCCAATTTGAACTTGCGTGGTAGGACTTATTGTAGATAGAATCATATCAAAAAAAAAAAAAAAAA